TATAGAGGGACCAGCGATATATGGACTTAGACGATGAATAAAGGAATGGCTTCTATTACAACTAGTAATGATGTTAGAAGAAGAATCACTTATTCAACTCGGACATAACAAGGACACTAGAATCTTTAACAGATTAGAGAAATCGATTGATAATAAAGAGAAGAAAAAGAGACCTGCAACCAGAGCATATAGCGGACATGCACATTACCTAGAAATACCTTGGTATCTCATAATCACATGGCAACTACGATGAGGAAGTTAGGAAGTCTGTAGTATCTAAATATCATCAAAGGACATGACAAATGAGGAGTTGAAGAGTTTCAGCTCAATGGGATGAACAAAATCCATACCATATGTATGCCTTGCCAAGTATGCATCGTAAGATGGACAAAGACATGGATGCTGATATATGTGGGACTCGGAAACTCCTCATAAGGTACGGTGAAGAGCCAATATCTTGAAATTTAAAACATTCAGGAATACATTAACAAGCTGCTGAGAGAATGCCTGAGGCATCTACAGACATTGGAAAACGATCAAGCAGATATTAAAGCAAGGTTCTCCATGCACTATCGGCAGATAGCTGAGATAGTGCACATTGTGAAATCCTACCAGCAGTTGGAGAAAGCCGGATTAAAGAGTAATACTGAGACAATGATTATAACAGCACAGAAGCAAGCGTTAGATCTATCTAAGCAAGGATCTATCACACCAGAATTCAGAAAATCATGAAGAATAATAAGGCGAAGATCCTGTGGGATTCTTTCATCCAAATAAGCCAAATATCGTGGAATAGACAAAAATCAGAAATCAGCACTGGTGATTGATATAGGTCGTCAGAAAGGAGGAATACAAGAAGTTAGAGAAATGCATACATGCAATAAAGAAGAAAAAGCTTGACGAATTGATATCCCATGAATTGGCATCGTGAGGCGTTATTCATTTTCAATAGAGCACAAATATTTCTGGATTGAATTTTTGTTTGCGACGAAAAATGGATTCTATGTAGCAAAAATTTCACTCATTGTTTGGTAGTTTTAATTCCCTAAATCTTTTGAACTTTTCTGGCACTGCAGAGGCATTTAGCATGGAATTGGAAATAAATCACTAGGAACTAGTAGCAACCAACGCCAAACAATAAAAAAAAATATAACTATTCTGCACGACAACTCCAGACCACAAATTGCAAGAACTATATTGTAAAAATTTGCCTGGTTGAAATCCTTCGAAATCCTTTCCCAGCCTTGTGCTTCCGCCAAACTTTTATTTCTTCTGCATTAAAAAATGCTGAGACTTCTCAGATGACCTAATATCCTTTTCGTTCGTATTCCTTAATATTTAAATCTTTTTCTACCACATATGAAAAAAATTAACATTAGTACTGACATTGATATTTATAATAACAATAATAATAAGCTTCATTTAAGTAGGATATACTGAAATATTATACCTCATGCACGAAAATTTCCGTCAATTTATTTATGGAATCAGTTTTTCAATTTGTATTTAGAATACAAATTTGTATTGGATACGGTGACCAGAAAAAGGATTTGAACTGTAAGTTTTTGCTCAAGATAAATCTTTATGCCACTGTATCCCATAAATTGTTTAGCAACTTAAAAAACCGTATAAATCGTTTATGAATATTTGGGAAAGCAATAAAAACTATGCAAAATAATTCGCATTAAACGAATAAAATTTATTATTTACGAAATTTTTTAATTAAAAAAGAACAATTAAAAAAATTTTATCATGTAATAAATGGATTGAAGGACAACGATCTCTTGATAAACATAAACAAATATAAATATATATATATATATATATACACATCGACAAAAAAAAAATCTGGTTTGTCGCACCATAGATCGAGATCTAATTTTTTTGCCAACATATTCAAATAGATAAAATATAAATAAAACCGCATAATGAGATGAGAGCAACAAAGATCTAAGAATTTAAAAAAAATAAATACAGTATTTTATATTATTATATCACGTTTAGTGCTCTATACCTTCCATTCATCTACATTTGTACATCTACTCTATCCATCTCAAATGGCTGTTTGGCAACAGAGTTCCCAGCTTTAATCGATACACAGCTATGTTTTTTGCCTATTCTGCGACCTTTTTTAAAGTCTCATTTTCGACATGAATATTTTACACAAAAAATTTTTAATTTTTAAATTTAAATGTGGAACCAGAAAATATAAATTAAATAAATAAATTAAATAAATAAAAAATAAAACCGCGAATAAATATAATGTCGCACTTTTAAAAAAACTTGGCAGCGTCTAATAATTAATTATTATCGAAATAATTAAATGCTGTCGTTATTCGAAAATGAATATTTCCAATTTTAATTCAATTAGCTTGAATTATGTTTTCTCCAGTTTTATCAAAGTTCGTTGTTAACTTCGGAAAGTATTATGGATACTTCAATGATATTTGGAGTTAAGGAATAAAAGCATCATTATTTACTCATTAATAACGTCTATAATGTCTTCTAATAATTCAAGTAATAATGTACATTCAAGTAATAATGGAAAAATGATTTTTATCTAAAAAGGAAAGAGCTAACTAGCATTTGTCTTGTGCCAAAATTTGCCTTGTCTTTTATAATTTAAAATATTTCTTTTCGGATGGCAAACTATTACTCTATAAATAATTGAAAAAACTTGCTTTTGTTTTCCTAATTTTTTATCATTCTTTACCATTCATAGTCACTTTCACGCATCTAAAATGAAAAGAAATATTTTGAGATAATATCATTCCGTGAAAGTCCGCCGAATTTCTGTATTCATTTAGGATATATGCAAAGGGCGAATCGACTAAGGATTTTAGAACACAAGTTTGCTTATAGGATATCATTGAGAATACAAATTAAATTTACTGAAATCGCTGATACATATATATATATATATAAATTCTTTTACAAGTAACATGACGGAAAATTAGAATATTTGAAAGAAATATCCTCCAAATATTTTAAAAATATGTTATTTAAACCAATTAAAATAAAATATAAAATTTGCATAAATTTTTATATTAAAATTTGGTTAATTTATTTTATTACTATATTTATTTAATTTTAAATTATTTCAATATTTTTTTTAACTTTTATTATGAAAGGATTTTTATAATTCCGACAATCTTTTGA